GTGAAGGAAGAGCCTTGTTTGGGGCTTCTCTCCCCCTTTGCTTCTGGGTGCGTTTATTTGCCTTGCTAATCATGATTTTCTAGCTAATTCTGGCAACTTAAAGCCAAAAAAAAATCAGAATTTGTGAGGAGAAGAGAGTCTGAACTGTGGGAATCAGCATGATTTTTTTGGGGGATGAGATTAGGGATGGGGTAAGTAATTTTCCAGAGGATCAGGGAAGAAGGAAAGGGTTGTGGAGAGTTTGCATTTCCCCCCTTTGGCTTTTTGGCTGCGGGGCAGGAGGGAGCAGAGCCTGGCAGTGCCCTGCCCTGGGCTGGCACCAGCTTTGGGGTGTTTGGAGTGTTTGGGGTGGGATGGGGGCTCTGCCCGCCCCCATCTGGGACATCCCCTGGGGTTTTCCCTGCTGTGCCAGGATTCCAGCCCAGGCCTCATCTGGTGCTTTTGCAGGAGGAGCTGGGGCTGGTTTGCTCAGCAAAAAAATCAGCTCAGCTTCCACTGCATCCTTTTATCGTGGAGTTTAGGAATCAGCCAGAGCCCCGTGGGCACCGTGACAGATTTTAGTGGTTCTCCCTGAAAGCCATCACAAGCTGGGGACATCCCTGGAGGGATGGAGAACCCCCCTCTCCTTGTGGACAAATCCCCACAGGCATCCTCCAAACCCTAACAAGAACCCCAAACGATTTGGGGGATTTTATGTAGCTTGTTATCTTAGGTGTAGGGAATTTTTTTTTATTATTTTTTTTTATTTGAAATCCCAGCACGAAATAATCCTCTTTTTCTGGTCGGAATAGAAATGGCTTGATGCCACGAGGCAAAAAAAAATTAAAAAAAAATAAAAGGCAGCTCTTCCCAGTGCTGCGCTGATTTGCAAGGCTAGTGAGAGACTACAGAAGGCGTTTTCAAATAGACTCCGATATTTTCAGTGCTTGAAGAGGGCCCGACTACATGACACCTTTTTTGAAGCCCCGATTTACAATGGCCCCAGGCTGAGTGCATTATAATTTGCTGCCAGAAGTTCCAAAGTCGCAGTACTTTCAATAATGAGGAGAGAAACCCTAATACGAGAAGACTTTTCCCTTTCTCTCTCTCTCTCTCTTTATTTTTTTTGGTATTGTGTTTAATGAAAAGCTAAAAATGTGCTAATTTGTAAGTCCTGTTGTGGTAGTGGCATCGGAGGCTTTTGAAATGCGTTACTGACTCGGGGAGTATTAAGGAAAAATGACATTTCGCTACTAGCAGAAAAGTCAATTATAATGTTTCCGCACTTTAGAAAATTGCTGATGCAGGATGGGAGTTAATAGAACAGTCAGCTCCACTTTGTGTTACCGGATTTGGGGGCTTTCGCTGAGAAATGTCGGCTTGTTTTTTTGGGGTTTTTTTGATTTTTTTTTTTTTTTTAAAATTCTGATGGTAACTCAAAGAACGAGGCTGCCACAGGCGCTGCGCKGTCGGGAGGCGTCTCTGGGAGGGTGTGAGGTGTTCCTTGGGCTGTTCCCACCTGGAGCTGGGGATGGAGAGGATGCAGACTGCGCGGGAGAGGGGAAAATCAGTGCAGATGGAGCGTTTTGCAGTCCCTTTGATCCCTCCCTGGTGGTGCAGGAGCACTGAGCCGGCTGCAATCCGTTCCCAGTGAGCCCTGTTCACTGATTTAAAAAAAAGAACAAACGAAACATTTAAAGCAAAGAGCTGTCCTCACCCACTGTCCTCACCCACTGTCCTCACCCACCTCCTGTTCTCGACAGGGGGATTTTTCCCCATCTCCTGGAGGAGGAAACAGCAGAAAACTTTTCCTTAAGCTCTTGGGGTAAAGGAGGGAGACTCACTGGGGTTGCCAGAGGGTTTTGGTGCTKCTGGTAAAATTCTGGGATTGTTACTGGTGAGGAGGCAGAACAGCTCGTGCTCATCCCAYGCTACCATGGACAGGGACATCTTCCACCATCCCAGGGTGCTCCAAACCCAATTYCAKCCTGGCCTTGGGCACTTCCAGGGRTCCAGGGGCAGCCAYAGCTTCTCCAGGGCCTCCCCACCCTYCRAGGRAGGAATTCCTTCCCAAATCYCATCCAACCCTGCCTTTATTTCTTCTGCTCCCTCTTCCAGGTGTCCCAAAGAGGGGTTTCCTGCTGTGGCTCGAACAGAAGGAAGGGGAAGTGAGCACCAAGACTTTGGTAAAAGTCGTGTCATATGTAGTTCTCCCGGGTTGGTGKGAAGCAATTAAGCCAATTAATTTATTGGTAAATTATCTGATGATGAAGTACAAAATAACTGCAATGAAACGCTGACGTTCACATTAATACCGAATTAGTTACTGTATTATGACTGTTCTTACAATGAATGCCCAGTAATTTAATAGTAATGGCACATTTAAATAATTCAGCTGATAATTCTCCAGATCACTTCCATATATAAATGAGGGTGACAACTTCTCCTCTCAGCTCTGCTGCTGCTGGATTGCCTCCCACCTTTACAGCAGCACGAAAAGTCCCCCATTCTTTGCTGTCCCTCAAAACTCAACTTGGGCTGGGTGGAGGAGGCAGAATTTTCCTTTTCCATCACATTTTGGGAATACTGGAAAGCTGCATGCATTGGTGCTGGGCTTAGCAAAGCCACAATCTCCTTGTTACCTCTTTCCATGAAAAGTTTCTGGGTGGACGAGGCAAGATTTTCCTCCTCCTCCATCAGATTTTGGGAATGCTGTGGCTGGAAGGCAGAGTGCAGCTGTGCTGGGCTTAGCAAAGCCACAATCCTTTTTTACCACTTTCCATGGAAATTCTCTGGCTGGAGTAGGCAGAATTTTCCTTTTCCATCAGATTTTGGGAATGCTGCAAGGCAGAGCGCAGTTTTGCTGGGTTTAGCAAAGCCACAATCTTTTTTTTTTCCACTCTTTTCATGAAAAATTTCTGGGTGGAAGAGGCAGGATTTTCCTTTTCCATCAGATTTTGGGAATGCTGGAAAGCAGCTGTGCTGGGTTTAGCAAAGCCACAATCTTCTTTTTTATCTTTCCATGGGTGGAGATGCTGGAGGAGCATCCTAGAGGTGTTCCCACCCAGTGGGAAAGGTTGGAGAACCACAGGGCCACTCCATGAATAAATTCATTCCCCTGACACTGAAATTACTCCGTGTGTTGGCCCTGCTGAATGCAGGTTTTTCACTCATTTTTCAATGAGCTGAATAATTGAATAATTACAAACAGCACTAAAATTGCTGCTYGTGCTTCCCTCCCCATCCCCATGAGAGGATTCTCCTGAGGAGAGCTGGCAGCCCCTGGGGCAGAGCTTTTCTGCTTTATGGGATGGTTTGGGTTGAAAGGGACCTTAAAGCTCATCCCATTCCACCCCTGCCCATAATTCCCACTATCCCAGGGTGCTCCAAGCCTGTCCAACGTGGCCTTGGCCACTTCACCCCCGCTTTGTCACCCCCACTTTGTCCCCTCCTGCCCCCACAGAGCTGTTTGCAGCTAAACCAGCCCCTTGCAGGATCAATCCCCCACTGTTTCCCCCGATATACCGGTGAACAATGCACAAACCCCACAGGTTTTCTCCTGGTGAAATGCTCCAGATTTTTTTCTCTTCCTGCATGAGATGGATGCTGCCAGTCAGCTGCCTGGTGCTTTGCTATCGAGATTGCACTGAAGCTGCTGAAATATGAGTTAATGGCTTTGCTTACATCCTCCCGAAATGTGCTCCTTCCATCACATCCCGCCGGCTGTCAAACCTGTTGTGGGGAGGAGGGATCYGCTGTCGGCAAGATTGAGGGCAGAATTATCCAAATTAGTTTCCCGGTGGATGAGAACARGGATGAGGTTTTTCCACACAGATCCCTTTGGAGAGCTTGGTTTTTCTCCCCAGGGRTGAAATGAAAAGGATCATTTTGGATAAAATTGGGGTGTGGTGCTGAATTTGGGGATTCAGCAGCCTGGGAAGGAAAGGTAAARTTTGTAGCTGCACTGTGGTGATGGATTGAAGCCAGGCAGCTCGTGGGGTTTCTCATGTGGGATCTGTGGGGATTCCAGCAGCTGGGAGAGCTGGGSAGGGACTGGTGTCCACCAGGAATGTCCTGAGGGGCTGCTCAGGGACATGTGACAAACATTTCCTCTCTTGGACCTCCTTGGCAGGGCTGGAGGCGCAGCCTCGAGGGTGGAAGGGAGAAATCATGGGGAGCCCTGTGCCAGGCAGCAAAATGCAGCCAGCGAGGGCCACAGAAATCCCAAATTTTGGGGTGGCTCTATCCTTTGTGCTGGGATAGCCCACAGGAGAAAATTCCTTGTATTAACCAGATCCATCCAGCTCCCCACCCTGTGCACAAGGATTTGATTAATTCCTCTGCAGGAACCCTCCCAGGCCTTTTTTTCCAGGGCATTCCTGCTCCCAGGAGGGTTTCTTTCCATTTGGATGCTCTCAGGAGCAGGAGGAGTTCAACACCATCCCCTTCCCAGCAGCTTCCTCCAGCAGTGCCTCCCAGCCCATTGATACAGGCACAGAGAGATCCCTCGACCTCCTGGTATTCTCAGTTATTCCCAGTTATTCCCAGTTATTCCCAGTTACCTGTTGTCAAATCTACGCAGGAATTATGTGATTAGAGGGAAAACCTGGTGTTGGTGGCTCTTATTTATACAAGAATGTGATCCTGTGCCTGACATGAGGGTGGTGCCAGCTCCATCAGCATCCTGTAGGATATCCCAAAGCTTTGGGGTTGTCTGAGCACTGTTTATAAATTCTTTTGCCCCCAAATTGCTGATCAGGTGCACTAAGCAACAAATGCATTGCTATTTGTGCAAACAAGCTAGTAAGTCATTATTTTTTTAATGATAAAATAGATTAAAAACAGATTTTGGTGGATGTCCACCCAAATTAGCATCTGGCTGCTTTGCTTTTTTTTCCTGTAAAACCCAAATACGTGAATTTTTCTGTGCTAAGGCCTCAGAAGGGGCAAGTGCTGAGTAAATATTCAGCTCGTGGCAGATCCTAATCCACACCAATTAAAGATCAGTCTTTCCAGCTGTAATGGTTTTATTGAGCACTGCCAGGCTTTGGCCCCACAGATACATAAAGCAGTTAGTTTTATAAAGCATATAAGGGTATTAAAGTAATGAAAGGCATTAAAGTGGCATCAATTTTTAAGGAGAGTTACCTGCTGAAATAAATGAGCACGGCCTAAAAGTTGATGGCATGTTACAGGCCTGAGTAATGAACCCTTCTGCCCCCTAAAATCTCCTGGAATAAATAATCCTTGAGCAAGTCAGCGCTCGTTAACTCTTTATCCTCTGAGAGCTACATCTAATTTATTTTTAAAACTTTTAAAAAATTCATTCAGAGAGGAATTCTCTTTTCTGGAACACCTGTAATTTGAGGAGAATTAATCTGCCACGCTTTCCCAGCGAAGAAGAGTCGCCACTGGTGTCACCAGGTGAAAAATCCTCAAGGATTAGRAGGAAGTTACTTTTTTCCTTTCTTGGGTTTTTCTTTTTCATCTTCATTTGGCTCCAGAGCTGCGAGCCATGCTCTCCCCAGTGGGGTCTTGGTGTACCAGGACTGGGGAATCAAAAAGAATTTGTGTTTTAATAAAATTATTAAGAAAAAAAAAAAAGGCAAGGCAGACCACTTAAACATTTTACTACTATGATGCAGCATTCTTTAAAAAAACCCAAATCTCTTAAAAATTCAAGAAGCCTTTTCCACCTCATCCACCCCAAATGCATCCTGTAAAATCTGCCTTTTGCACCTGATCCACCCCAAATGCGCCCCATAAAATCTGCCTTTTCCACCCGATCCATCCACCCCATTGATAAAAATCCCATTGAAAAAATCCCCACTGATAAAAACCACACTGATAAAAATCCCATTGATAAAACCTCCACTGATAAAAAAAGCAACTGATAAAAACCCCACTGATAAAACCCCCACTGATCTAAACCCCTATCTTTCAGCCTCCTTAGTCCCAGGCTGAACCATTCCTCAGCTGTTTTGGTGTTCCTGGCCCTTGCCATGATCGGGGTGAGGTGATGGTTGTGGGTTTTGGCTCCTGCAGGAATTCCCTTCCCTGTCAGCAGCTGTGGGAAGCCACAAGATGTCTCCTGGGTGAGCCACCACGAGGCCACAGRGGTTGGAATTTCCCCTCAGTTTTGTGTCCTGTGTGTAGCACCTTCCAGAGCTTAATTAACCACACTTTATCAAGTGGGAGGTGGACAGAGCAGGAAAACCTTGCCAAGAATTTTCTGTTTGGTGGGRTGAGCATTTCCTTGCCAACTCTGGGGCACTGGCAAAGGTGTTTTGGCAGGAGAAGCCAAAAAACTCGGGATGTCTCTTCCTGCTCTCTTCCCAATTCTTTGTGCAAATATTTTAGTGCACAAAATTAACTTTTGGATTCTTTAATTGGTGTAACTCTTAGATGAGATGAATGAAGGCAGCTCCTCAGACTGATTTATTTTATGAAAATAAATTTCCATCTGAACTGGGGATGGAAGTCACTGGCAGCAGGTGACTGATCAGAGTTAAAATATTTGGGTTTTGGAGGAATGATGTGCCCAGGCTTTGGAATGGGTGTTCCCATGTGTTTCTGTGGCTGCCCCATCCCTGCAAGAAAGAGCTCAAGGCCAGGCTGGACAAGGCTTGGAGCAGCCTGGGATCGTGGAAGATTTCTGGAAGTCACCTGCCCACAAAATGGGGTGGAAAAAAGATGAAATTTAAGGTCCTTTCCAAGCCAAACCATTCTATGATTTTGGTCCAGTCACTACCAGGCAGAACTAGTGGGGTTAGCTGGCTCTGTCTCTCTGAAAATCCTTTCTGTGCAAGGATTTGTATCAACCACCCTGGTGTGCTAATTTATGATTCAAAAAAAAAAAAGCACCAAAAAAAAAAAAAAAAAAAACCAAAACCGTGACTGTGTAATTGGAGCAGAAACTTGAGTAAATGGAAGGCAGAAATCACATTGTCACAAATTCTGCATTATTTATATTCATTTTGGAACACTGGCAGAATATAAATGTCAGCCTGGGAGATTCATGCTTTCGRGGAAGAAAAATCAAAGATTCATCACTGGGCTAATCTTGGCTTTGAACGTTTGAGCTGTCCTGCTTCCACCAGGGACAAAGAAAAGGAAAGGGCCAAAAATGTCAATTATTAAAAGTTTGGAAAGAGGAGCTTCTGTGAAAGGAGAGAAGAGGATTCTGGAGTTAATTAATRCACGAGGCCATTTTGACAATGCCACATCACAGGTGCTGTGGTGAGGCTCTGTGACATTTAAGAAAAACAAAATTCCGACAGATCAGAGAAAATGCTTTCTTAAAGGCTGTAATTAAYGGAAGGAGATGATTGCTGTGGGATACTGAGGACAGGATCATCTGCTGAAGCCTGCACACTGTGTACCGAACAAAAATGGCACATTTAGGGTAACCAGGAGAATATTTTCAAGTTAAACTCCTCAAGTGAAATACTTGCTCTCATATTTCAGTGTACAAATGGATTAAAACTTGGAGCTGGGAATGATAGAGTATTTTTTTTCCCCTTTTGCTGTTACACTGAACCATTAGCCTTTCCCTGAGGAGAGATATTGGTTTAGTTAGAACACATGAGGAAAATAAAAAATGAGTAATTCTCCAAATATCACAAATGCTGCCAAATGGCTCTGAATGGAAATTGGGAAGTGCTCAGCAGAGCTGAGAGAAATAGGAATGATCACCAGGTCAGCAGTGGGAGAAACTTTGGAGGAAGTTGTGAGAACCCGTGAGAATCTGGGGGTTTTGAGGAGAAGGATAAGGAAACCTTTCCACTGGGAAAAGTGGAGGGGTCATAAGGAGTTTTGCGGGGTTTGGGATGGAGAAAGCTCCTTTGGGGTCTCTGGGCTGCAGTTCCCCTCAAATCCTCTCAGTTTTGCCCCGAAGGCAGGGAGAGAAAAGGGATGGAGCTTGAGGCAGAAGCTCATTTATTTTAATGCCTGAAATGAAAATTTTAAGGAAATCCATGTTTGAGATTATTTAAGAGAAGGGCTTAAATCTTGATYCTGATGTGGAACATCTCATAAACCCTGCATACCCAGGATTTTTGGCACAGATGGCACAGGCAGGTTTGCTGAACACCTCAGCTCTGGAAGGAAAAGGATCAGAGCATGGAATTAGTGTGCCCAACACAAGCTGGGTGCCAGCAGCAGATTCACCAGAGCACTCTGCCAAAATAAAGACAGGTTTGGCACATTCCCAAATGGGGAAGTTGGATTTTGGTGCTGTTGGCCCCTGAATCACCATTCCATGAGCAGGTCTGTACATCAGGCACGGCTGGACACGGCAGGGAATGGTCAAAGATTGACTCTGGGAGTCACCTGAAAAGTTTCTTCCTCYTCTCTGTACACCGGGTCGTGCTTGGCCAGGCAAGTGAGGAACTCACTGGTCCTCAGTGGCTTCCTGGGCATCTGCAGCAGCCTCAGCTCGGTCAGGACGGTCTGCACGGCGTCCACCATGTGGCCTGGGGTGAAGCCATCCGACACCTGGGCCAGCCCATTGATGTTCACCAGTTTGGTCAGGGTTCCACCCCTCTGCAGGATGAGACGCCTCCACAGCACTGAGCAGCACATGGGAAACACAGCCAGGAAAAGCAGGAGAAATGTTATCGTTGTTGTTATTATTATTATTATTATTATTATTATTATTATTATTATTATGAAGAAGAAGAAGAAGAAGAAGAAGAAGAAGAAGAAGAAACAAACACAGAAGGACAAAGACAGCCATTCAAGGAAAAGCAGGAGAAATATTATTATTACTATTACTATTACTATTACTATTACTATTACTATTACTATTACTATTACTATTATTGTTGTTGTTGTTGTTGTTNCAAAGACAGCAATTCAAGGAAAAGCAGGAGAAATATTATTATTACTATTACTATTACTATTACTATTACTATTACTATTACTATTACTATTACTATTACTATTACTATTATTGTTGTTGTTGTTGTTGTTGTTGTTGTTGTTTTTATTTATTATGAAATAAATAAGAAAATAAGGGCTTTTGATCAGAAAGCCAAGATTCCAATTTTTTTTTGTTTGTGATTGTTTTGTTTGGGGTTGGGAAGTGGATGAGGTTTTGCTTCCAAAAAATAGGAATAATACAAATATTTTTCTTTATTTTATGTTAAGCAAGGATCTGTTTCAGAGAAATTCAGGAAAATTTTGGTGTTGCTTTAAAGCGTTAYATGGAAATATTTGGGGAAAAAATAGAAGTATTATGGGTAAGAGGTCAAAAAGGTTTTTGAATAAGACATGTTTGAGTCTGGTGTGGCTGAGGGCCTAACGAGAAGTCGGTACGGAATCGTGAATCTTCCCATTTAACGATTGCCATTTGGAAATATTTGGATTTGGAATATTCTGCTCTGGAACCACAGGCAGGGCTGCAGCAGGAAGGTGGCTGTGTAAATAATGTTACAAGCATTTGTTTTGTCATTATTTTTCTGTCAAAACAAGTTTCTCTCCTTCTCAAGGCACTGAAAATTGTCAGGACTAGGAGGTGAAGATCCTATTTCATTTGAACTTTGGAGAACAACAAACCAGCCACTTTTTAAAACAGGGCAATGTCACGGATTTAAATCTGCTTTAAAATGCCACTTGTTAACTTTTGGTGGCATTCTTCAGTGTGCAGTTGAAATCCCTTGAYCTGGCCCTTTTTTGGATTCCCAGATTGTGACAGCTCAACTAAACCAAGCTCAGCTAAACTCAGCTGCTCTCACCTCCTTTCTCTGAATTTTATCTCTCAGCAATCCATCAGAGCTGTATCCTAACATGAAACACATGTTCTCTCATTTGGTGACCATTTCCCATCCACACCAGGAAAATTATGGAACATGGGAGAGATTTACAACGTGCCAGGCAGCCAAAATCTGCCTTGGGCTTGCCCAAATGTGCATCACCTCGRTGCCTTGGCTGCTTCTGAGGGATGCAGGATGAAAAAGGAGTGCACAAGGAGTTTGTAGGGTTTTGTAAGAAAGTGACAGTGTGGACAGAGCAAAAAGTACCTGTGTGACAAAGTCCCTGAGTCAAATGTCCTTTATTGTTGTTTATTACAGACTCAGGGTGCTAAAAATCTCAAAACATTGSAATTTTGTCTCATTAGACCAATTTACACGGCTAGAAAAAGCCCCCACTGTTTCCCCTACAAGCTTTGAGTCTCAGTACGTGGAATACTCAGTGAATTTGTCAGAATTTGGTTGGGCTTATCATTGTTAAATATTTGATAGACCAGACATGCAAAGTCTTGGATGTCTCTACAATTTCTCTCGTGAACTGTAAGCACAAAAAGTGGAATTTGGCAGTGAGAAAATTTAGTCCTGGTTTAGACATGGTTTTGTTTTGGAGAGGCCCAGAAGTTGTGTTGTTTAGAGTATGAGACTGGAAATTCAGAATTGCAAACGGGAAATGCAGTCTGAAACCAGAAATTCAAAATCACTGCATAAAAATTTAAAAGCCTAAAGCAGAAGATGTGGGCTGAAAGAGGATCTTGTTCTTCAGACARGGGGGAAGGAAAACCAGCTCAGGCTGAACTTGGTGCACACTAAATTAATGAAAAAAATGTTTATCACTGCTGAACAGTATTTTAAACTTTACTCCCAACTTCTACTTTTATTATTTGACCTTTGGGGTATCCTGCATTGATTTAACCTAAATTTTCAGGACTTGAGACACACCAGGGGCACGACTTCAGGTCAGCTCTGAGGGAAACCAGACRACAAACACGGATTTCAAACCAAATACTTGCCACATCTGGTCAGGTAGTCGGGCTTGGGGATGAGAATGATTTTCTGGTAAACTTTGCAGAAAGGGCCGATGTTGGCATCGAAGGGYCTGGAGCTGGTGCCCACCAGCAGCATCCTGTCCCTGGCTTTCATGGCCCGCAGGAGGGCGGGCAGGAGCTTTGTCAGGCGTTTGCAGATCACCTGCTGCACGGGGGGAAGGCAGGAGGGAAGATTTGTTAATGAGSTGGAGCTGTCCCTGCTGCCTGCAGTGGGATTTTGGGGGGTTTTGGGTGGTTTCGTTCTATTTGGCACGAGCAGATGAGATATCAACCCGAGTAGGAAGATTGTGTTTCTTCAAAATCAGGTAAAAACTTGATTTCTGCTCGTGTTTTTGGGGGTTTGTGCCTCTGCCTTTCGCTGGTTGAGTTATTCAAAGGCAGGGAGGAAATGACTCCTTCAAAGGAGGAAATCCTTATTTCCAGCTCAAGGGGAAACATTGCAGGGACCTGATGAGCCTCGACAGGTGGAAAATTATAACCTGGTTTGGAACCCTCCCAGCTCTTGGAGGTTGTGATTTTCTGACTCCTAAGTGTCAAAAATACACTCCTTAATTTTTTTAGATTTTTTTTTTTTTGTGATTTCCAGCTTGCTGAGGCTCTGAGAACAAAGGGTTCTGGGAGCTCGGGGTCCATTTCTTTGCCATAATTCACCTCTTGACTTTATAACAGGTTTTTAACTACTACAGAAATGAAACTAATAGTTTACTACTAGYAGTTACTACTACTAAGTTTAACTAATACAGAACAGGTGAGTATTGAGCATAACCAGTTATTGGAGAATTATATTTGATAAAGTTCAAGTGAATATCAGCTGGAGAAGCCTAAACCAGATTTCTGTGGTRCCACTATGTTAATCAATAATCTTTCCCACAAGTTTTGGGGTACAGTAGCACATTTTTTAAATCCTAAATAATCCTGTCTTAACACCATACATTTGTTGGATCTTTCTTTTTCTTCTCATGGTTGTGCCATGTGTTTTTCCAAGTGTGCTAATCAGTTGTGCTAATGAATTGASCAGGTTTTAGCCTCCTAATCTTAATTTTAATCCCCATCTGCACTTTCTGTCAAGCTTTGAGCCCAAGAGAAAGGTTCCCTTTGGTTTTGGGGACCATTTAGGGCACCAATCACTGCACAGCCAGCCTGGCAGAAGGAAAAGCCCCATTCGAGGTTTTCTAAAATACAGACTTGTCACCACCCCACTGACAACCTTAAAAAAAAATTAATTATTCACAGAGCTCTAACAGCAAAATATTTTGCAGGGAACAGAATTGGGGATGAATTCCCTGCTGTGGTGTTGTCGCTGTCACATTGGGCAGTGTTTTAATTTTCTTTCCAATGGGGAGAGGAAGGAATGGGAGCAGCAGCATCAGGACCCTCGGGAGCCCAGAGAAAATAATCTGTAATTGTAACTATTTTGTTTCTGTGGTGCAAGTTTATCCTTGTTACTTCATTGTTCACTTTGGCTCCATCCAATTTCTCAAATTAATAGAGCCGAACAATTTAAGCTCATCTCAACTTTTAGCTCCTCTATTTCAAAATTCTCCATTATTCCCTTTTGCTTTCTGGTACACTGATGAGCGGTGACTGGGCTATTTTTAAATAAAGCAAGGACATGTGCAGGAGAGAAATGTGACCTCTTGGGGGCTCTKAAGAAGTCACAAGACTCTCTTAAAAGCAAAAAAAAAAAAAAAAAATTTAGCGAGACGAGCTATTATCAAGCAAGCTTCGGCAGGTCTGGTCGTGTACACTTGTTCTTTGTGTGGGATGCAGTGAAACAGGAGACATTACCTGCCCTGGAATAAAGGAGGACTCACCTCTTCTTCTCCCTTCGCAGTCCCTTTGGCATACATCCTCTCTGCATCTCCAACCCACACCACTGAAGGCTGCAGTTCCTTGCCCACCTAGGAGAAAACAGGGGGGGAGAAAGCAGGGAGGTGATTAAAGMAGCTGCAGTGTCATCCCTGGGAGCTGGCACTGTGCTTTTAATCCGGATTTCAGCAGCTCGATTAGGTTTATTCTTTACCCACAGGAATGTTCAGCACKGCTCAGCATCTTTGGCAGATCCAACTCTTTCTAGTCGGGAACAAAGCATTAAGAGCCCRCCCCAAATCGAATAATCTTGTCTGAGTATCTTTAATTTCTCAGCGTGAATTTGGTTGCATTCGTGCAGAAGGAAGCCTGGATTTGGTGTTCAGTGGAAAATTCTAACCCAAGAGCAGCTTTAGGCTGATTCTGGGGTCTCTCCTTGGTTTTCTGGATGGGAAGACTTGCATCAGAGGGGAGGGCACTCATCTTTCAGCAAAATACTTCTGGTTGAAACCCTGGCATTTAATTCTCAGGGAGCTCTGGAGTAAACACGGAATTAAATCTGGAGGAGGAAGGGGGGTGTCCACAAATGGCTTTTCCTGCTCCGAAGTCGGAGGCACGATACCTCCGGTTCACAGCAGGATGGCAGCAATGCTACAGGCTTTCCCCACCGCCTGCGCTCTCCCCATCGCTGTAGAAGAGCCAGAAGTGGGGACATTCCAGAGGTGGGGACATTCCAGAGCGGGAGACGTTCCGCTGCCCAATTTTCATCACTCTCCAGCGGCTCTCAGAGTTTGCTCAGTGACGAAAGTGATGGCTCGTGGAGTCAACGAGAATGAGAGAGAGAGACAGCGTCCTTCTACCTTTCCTTT